CCTCTTGCTTTCCATCTTGCTCCGATTAGAACAAGAAACTGATCAGCTCTACGTTTTACGAAACAAACCCCACAATACAGTGTGTGAGCAGCAGTCAGGGGCCAAGGGTGGGACAGGGACACCAGTGAGAGAGTTCCTCGATGGCTCAGTAGCTTTACTGTAGTGCGCCACCACCTCAGCTATCAGTGCACAGACCCTGCTCACACAGACGATGGCCGTTCGGTGGACACAGTTGTACCAATGGCACAGTTTTCTGTGGATAAACAGAAGGTGACATCACTAGACTAAGTGATCTATTAGCCCATTCTCCTTAAGATGCCATCATGCTGACAGGCCTCTAAAATATGGGCGGTATATGGCACATACCCCTGCTGAATAGCCTGGTGGGGGTACAACAGGAATGTGGCCTTCTCCAAAACACCTGGGCTTCCTGAAAGCGCTGTCTCCTCTCCCATTCTCCTGCCAGGTAAAACCGGCTTCCCCTGAGCCCCTCAGTACACTTACTGTACTGACAGTACACAAGGCTGAGGGGCCAAGTGAGAGTTCATGGGGAGGTGCCATTTAAGTACTTCTTAGGAGAAGGTTTGAAATCCTAGGTCCCTGTGGTCTGAGCCATCTCATCCAGGTCAGGGTTACTCGTTACTGTCAGCCTCGGCTGTACTCCTGATTTTACTGAGACCCCAGGTGATGTCAGTGAGCACGGTGGGCCCAGCACTCAGGGAGGAACAGGGTGGAGCTTGCTCAGGAGAGCGGACCCTGTTTCTCTTTGGTTGTAAAATAATGGCTTCTGGGTTAGTAAGGCCTTGCAGTGCGTTGGGAAGGGGGCTAAGAGGTCACCTGCTGAGATTCCTACTCTCTACAAAGAGAAAGGAAGAGAGCCACTGATGTGGGAGTGTCATATATCAATTTGTTGATTTCATTGGTTAAGTTATAATAAACCAGCTGCTTGGCCTCATAGCTTGGAACATAGATGGGAGGAGTAAACAGAATAGAATTCTGGGCGGAAGAGGAAGTGAGGTCAGACTCTGCTCTGCTTGCGGAGAGACCCGACAGCTCTGCTGGAGCACAGACTCCATGCTCAGCTCTCCCGGGTAGACGCGATAGCTCTGCTCTCTGAGGCACACGCGATGAAGATGGATGTAGGCTAGAATCTTCCCGGTAAGCGCACCTTGGGGTTCTTACACACATTATTAGAAATGGGCTAGTCCAGGTGCGAGAATTAGCCTGTAAGGGCTAGAGTTCATGGGCCAAGCAGTTCTTTAAATGAATACAGTTTGTGTGTTGTTATTTTGGGCGTGAGCTAGCCAAGCGGCTGGGGTGTTGGGGACGCAGCCCCGCTGCTTCTTATTTCAACAAGCCACGATAGCAAAAGTTCCACCCATACAGCGGGTTCTTATTTCTTCACAGCCAATCTTTAAGGTAAACCCAAGATGAAGCAGAGGCCAAGCACAAACTGTCTGTTCTGCCTCTAGCACTGACTTCTCATTCCCAGCACCCCTCCCAGGCCTCCACTCTCTCCCTACTACAAGTTCACTGAGTTGGCTGAGACCGTGGACTAACGGAACTGGGGAGGTCAGTGTGTGCATCTCAGCGCCCCCAGGCTTTTCCAGACGCCAATTCCCCAAGGGTATTCCCTCAGATTTCCTCGCTGAGACACAGTGGTGGCACCTATTTCAAAATTCTGTCAATAACAGCACAGCAGAGCTTGGTGTCTCCCCACGGCGGTGCTCCGCTGGTGTGAGATGTGTTTCCACTGAAGGCCAGAGAAGAGCTACATTCCACATTCAACTATAAGCAAGGCTGTAAGGGAACGTGATGCCAGAAGGAAAGAGGCATGTGGATTAAAAGGCAGCTTAGGTGGTATGCCTAGGCTTCGGTCCCCAAAATGAATCACAAGAAGACAGCAAAGCTGCTGCTGTCTGGAACCTGAGGTAGCAGGGAGAACACTGTTCTCATCAAGACAGCCAGAGTGGGGAAGTTTGCCCCCCCCCCCCCCGTCGGGGTTCACATCTGTTACATAGCATCCTGAGATGGTCTGTGCATCCCCTTCTCACGGGGAGTGATTTGGTGCCTGCTCCCTTCTCATAGTTTTGGCAGAGACCCGCCTGCCCACAGTAAACTGCCCTCACCAGAGTCTGTGCAAGAGGCTGCACCATTTCCAGAACTATCCAAGAGGATGCCTGACACTGCTGAAGTGTTGGGAAAGAAAAGTGAAACCAGCACAGGCACAGGGAGACTGCTAATCCTTCACCACAAGGGGGAAGCAGCGGCCCACTGTGAGGAGAGCCACCCTCGGAGGCTGGGCGCTTGGGGAAGCAGCTCACTGCCTTGCCTGAGGAGTTTCTCTTTGGCTTTGATAAATCCCATTTCACTGTCTCCATGTCATCATTCAACATCGAAACAAAACCGGTTTAGTAATTGACATAAGCAATATTTGCATTGAATCTTTATTCTATTTACCCCAATTTTAAAAGGTATGTTTCCAAAGAACCAGTAAAATTGATTTATAGTTTTTACTTGTCTAATTAGCCTGTGATTTCAGCGCATGCATGGCACATGTCCAAGCTGGAATGCACACTTTCCTCTTGTGGCATATTTGTGGTTCAAAACAGTCTGTCTCTGCAACAACTAAAGTTATTCCAACAAAGTTTATTAATCCTGAACAAGGAAGAGGGGGCTGAGTGCTGACAACACTCTCTCAAGATTTAACCACAGACCATATAGTGCAGAAGACAAAAAGATAGACAGCAATAATGTGAAGACTGCCTACCCACATTTACCATGCAAAACTCACACCTACCGTGTCCCTCCAATGCGTCCTGCTTTGGCGAACCACCAGGGCCTGGTTATACCGTGGCGGCGGCATGCATCCTCCTTTTTACCCAGCTCCTAGGGTGCTGAGACTCGGCCACACAGGTCATGATGCCCACTCTAGAACATTAAAGACGAAGATAACCTGTGCCTTTGAGTTACTAGGGCGGGCCGGGTGGTCACTGATTTCATCTTAAAGCTACAGTAAGTTACTATTCATTAAAAAAAAAAAAAGCATCATTTTCAGAAACCCAATCTACACCTCTTCCTAAAAATAGTTTTTCGACAGCCTACAGAATGGAAAAAGACCTTCACCAACCTCACATCAGACAGAGGTCTGATCTCCAAAATATACAAAGAACTCAAGAAATTGGCCACCAAAAGAACAAATAACCCAATTTAAAAAATGGAGTACAGACCTAAATAGAGAACTCTCAACAGAGGAATCTAAAATGGCTGAAAGACACTTAAGGAAATGCTCAACATCCTTAGTCATCAGAGAAATGCTTCTGTTTATAGGGAGTTTCCTTTCGAAGAGCGGCGCTGCCTGGGGAGATCATGAACACCGCAGCATCCCATTCTCACAGCATTTGGGAAGGTGAATTTGATTAAAATCTACGTGTTGTCTCCACCTCTCCCGTCAGGCATTTGGCGGTAAATGAAACTAGCAATTGCCCATGCTGTGATCTCATTTGTACTGATTGACTGAGTCAGGTAAGACTGAAACACTGTCCTGTCCAGGGAATCTTGAGTCTGACAGCTGTCAGGACCAAGGCCGGCATTCGTGCTTGGCTCTGAATGCATTGTCTGCAAAGGTGTTTGGCTGATTCCCTCTGATGAACGATAAAATAAAGGCCATGCAGCTAAATTTCTCTGGTGACAAGAACTTAAACTGACTTCACATCAGGGTTTCCCACATTGAAGAGACTTCTTGAATGAATAAATTCATGTACGTGGAGACAAGGACACCATAGGTAACATCTGTCTTGGGCCCTGTGGAGTAGAGGTATCCTATGTACCTATGTGTTCTGGCGACACGGGGCAGAGAACAGGGACACTGATGACACAACAGTGCTCTGTAGTGCCCCATCTCACGGTCATGCAGACCAACGCCTGCGTTAGACACAGCAGAACTCACCTTTTAATTTATATTGAGAGCAGGAGGTGGGTAGTGGGGTATTCAGTCCTGTTTGGTGTCCCTACAACGATACAAAGGAGAAAGCTTGTGCAGGCGGCGTCTTGGGAGCTAGGGCTGCTTTCGTATCATCTGGAGCCCTGCCATATGCAAGGCTGCCTTTGGTGGCTGCTGAAACAAGGCAGTGGAGGTTTGTTAACTTTTAGATATTTATCTTTTCTTTTAAAAGGAACAGTAAGTTTGAAGAGTCAGCCAGTAACCTCTAGAGCAGCAGAACTGAAGGACGAACACGGTAAAGGGGATTTATGGGGTTGACTTATCTGGTATGGTCTGGGGAGCCCAACAATGGTTCTTTATTCTCCAAGACTGAAGACCAGGTAGCTGCTATCGAGACGTGGGGTCTCCGAGGCCTCAGGATGGCACAGGCCAGGAGTGCTCACAGAGCCACTGGTCCTCATGCTGCCTTGGAAGGATGAGGAGGCAGGTTCTGGTGTCAGGAAAGATGGAGGAGGTGGTGATGGTGGTGGTGGTGATGGAGGAGGTGGTGATGGTGGTGGTGGTGGTGATGGTGGTGGAGGTGGTGATGATGGTGGTGGTGATGGTGATGATGATGGTGGTGATGGTGGTGGTGATGGTGGTGGAGATGGTGGTGGTGGTGGTGATGATGGTGGTGATGGTGGTGGAGGTGGTGGTGATGGTGGTGGAGGTGGTGATGATGGTGGTGGTGATGGTGGGCAGCAACCATCAAGTACTTCACCAAGAAGCGAAGGAAAGAAGGCACAGAGCAAGCACTTTTCCCTCAGAGCCCCTCATAGCAGGGGTTGCCATATCCAGGGTGGATCTTCTGACTTCTAATTAACGAATCAATGAGATCTCTCACAGGCATGCCCAGAAGCTAGGCTAATCTACACAGCCCCCCGACAGGGTTTCCTAGAAGTGTGCCTCAAGATAATTCTAGATCATGCCAAGTTGGCTATCTATGAGCCGTCACAGGAAGCCTGTCAGACTTCACACTGAGGGGTTGTATGACAAACTGGAGCTGTTGTGATACTTAAACTCAGGGTACAGAGTACCCCGAGTCAATAAAATCAGAGTAGGCCTGGCTGGGAGCAACCAAGCAGCAAACACTGAGACTTGGTCAAGAGGAACCAAAGAAAGCATTTCACTAAGGGTTTTTCAACACTCTGCAAGTCACTGACAAAGAAGCCAGTTCTAGGACTCAGGGGACCAGTTAGTGTGACAGGGAGCTAGCTCTAGGACTCAGGGCAGTTAGAGTGACTCAGAGCCAGCTCTAGGACTCAGGGCACCAGTTAGGGTTCTCCAAAAAACAGAACAGACAAGAAAACCCCACGTATTGAAAAGAGATTTACTGGACATTTTTCAGGTGGGCAAACAATGGCCACCTCGTACAGGAGGCTGCGAATCTAGAAGTCACTTGATCCGTGAAGCTGGATGTCTCTGCAGTCCCTGTTTGGCCCTGGGGACCTGGAGGATTCCTGAATGCTAGTCTTCAGCCTCCGCGAGGATCCTGAAGAAGCAGGTTCCAACACAGGCAAGGACCAGATAAGCTTCTCAGCCACCGTGAGGGAAGAGCTGTCTCCACCTTCCATGTCCTTTCATCTGACTGCCACTAGGTGTCACCCACACTCAGGGGAAGTCTTCCTGTTTTGAAAACCCTTCACACCCCTCATAGGAGTGCCCAGCAGCCTGTGTTTTAGTTGCTTCCTGAGGTAGTCAAACTGACAACCAAGCTTAGAGCTATCACACAAGCACGCCAACCTCGTAACAGATCCACTGCACCGCTTGAAAGGATAAGGAAAGGTGGATGGAATGTGAGGAGTTAACTCAACGCTGGCCCAGGTTAAGAAGGTCCATGCGATGTGTCCAGGGCTGTGCTAGCCTGCAGTGAGGCGGTGAGGCAACTTTTATGGCCTGCAAATATTCTCACAACTTACTGAGAAAATAATAAGCGTAGTAAGTTTCAGCATTGCTACCTGAACAGTGGCTTCATGGCTCCCTTACCATGGACACCATAATCAAACGTTACCTTTGGTAGGAAAATTATAAACTTTTAACTATACTTGCCCTTTGGAATATGCCTCTATAAACACGAAGAAGTACACTATTAAATTGTCAAAGTTCATTTGGTATGTGAAACCCAATGATTCCAGAAGGAACAGGACGAAGCTAGTCTGAAAGTATACAGACAGAGCGATGGCTAGCGGCTGTAATTTCAATACTTGGGAGCTTACAGTCACATGACTACTGTAAGTGCAAGGTCACCTGACACCCATCTCACACAAAGATACAAAGTATAATAGCACTATAAAATCTGAATAAAAGAACTATGACGAATTACTTTAAAATAAATGAACATTAATTATTTTGGTATTACATTAAATATTTAATAATTTTATTTAAATTACAAAAACCACAAACATTTATTCGATTGCTTCAAAAAGAAGTCTAATTGCTTCAGATAACCGATACCCATTGCCTCAGGTCCCACACTTCTCCATTTCAGGGCTGCCATGGAGGTACATTTCTGAGTACAGACATAATACACACGACTGTGACTTCAATTAACTATAAAAGCCACCTCTAAAAGTCAAAGCTTTCTCTACTGACATCACAGCTTGCTCTCTGTACGGGCAGCTCCTCAGAGGGTCACCAACAGGAGACAAGCTCTGTGAACTCTGTTAATGCTGGAGTGTACATTCATGAAAAGCCTTTCTCTATGAAACATGTCCCACTTCAGAAAGATTAAACCTAAGATAACTTAAAACTGCAAAGGTTTTTATTTTGTAATCAAGTCAATTAACTTTCATGTCCAGTGTTTAGGTGATTCTTTTAACTTCCCCCACATTATCAAAAAATCTTATTAATTCATTTAACCATAACCATAAAAACTGTTCATTAAAATAGTTCATGATTCCAGGAGGCATTTGAGCTCTTGAATAAAAAGACTTACTTTTATAAGTCTAACTGTAGTAACTCTGATTTTTTGAATAATTCTTTTACTAGCTAAAAACAATTACAATTTTTAACTCGGGAAAATTCTGTTTAGAAAGCCAAAAGCTGTGATGGTTCTAAAAGCTCCCAAATGTCCTTTACTGATACTGAATCAGAATTCTAGTCTCTGCAAGGATGCCGCACAAGCGCCTCTTGAAACTGTCGTTGTGCGTCATGGTTATCAGCCAAGTTAGAAACTTTGTTTTTAGCGTTGGCTCTTTTCTTTTGTCTTTTCTACCTAAAAATTACTGTCTTCGGGTAACGAATGCTTTTGAAGTATTTAAGAGATAAAATGAACATCGCTGGCTGTTTCATCGTGAGTGCCGCTGCTGCCTGACACAACCAATGTTCTCCCTGGACAGCTAGCTCTAGAGCAAATGCTGACGCAGTCCATGGGGAGAGCTAGCTCTAGAGCAAATACAGATGCAGCCCACGCTCTCCCTGGACAGCTAGTTCTAGAGCAAATGCTGACGCAGCCCACGGGGAAAGCTAGCTCTAGAGCAAATACAGATGTAGCCCACGCTCTCCCTGGACAGCTAGCTCTAGAGCAAATGCTGATGCAGCCCACGCTCTCCCTGGAGTGCTAGCTCTAGAGCAAATATGAATGCAGCCAATGTTCTCCCTGGAGCTAGCTCTAGAGCAAATACTGACACAGCCAATGTTCTCCCTGGAGAGCTAGCTCTAGAGCAAATGCTGACGCAGCCCACGGTCTCCCTGGAGAGCTAGCTCTAGAGCAAATACCGACTTTCATCCTGAAGCTCACACTTGTCTACTGAATCAGTCACCCAATGTTCTTGCAGGATTTTAAACTTTTTCTTAAGAGTCCTCCTGAAAGCTTTGAAGTCTGCAACTCGGCTAGGATCTTCCCCAACGATCACATGAGACACCCCCTCAGATAAGCAGGACACTACCCTGGCTCCATGAAACCGCAGCTCGAGCGCTGTCACACCTAATCTCGTTGCTTCGATTCTGGAGCTCAAGTCGTTGACAACAGCATACAAGTCCAGATACACGGTGCAGTGCCGAAACATACTGAGAGGAGAGCGATCCCAGGAATAGCGGTATTCTAGGTCGGCGATCACGGGGGCCATTTCTTCAGGAGTCTGCTGCTCCCTGGGTTTAATTCCTGAAAACACTTCTTTCAGTTGATCCAAATCCGTATCAACAAAATAGCTATCTCCATAGCAATCATATTCGCGGGCAAAGTGCTGCTTTGTTGACGGGCACATGTGAACCATGACGCGAGGCTGCCACGGCACACACGTTTTTGTTTTAAAACACTCCAGCAGCCACTCGGGCTTGACGACATCGTGTTCGTCCGAGGAGATAATGTTCCTCACTCTGATGTTCCTGCACCCTGCAATCACACAGTACGTTTCTGGGCCTGGATTCTGCACAACGCAGCCACCAAGTTCTGCAATTCTGTTCTCCAGGTCAGGCTTGGGAAAACCCTCCATCCCAGTCATAACGCAAAACTCAACGTCCTCAAATACGTTAGAAACCTTGCTTACGTTAGAGAGGTTAGGTGCTTTCAAGTGTTCGATAATTCCGATGGTCTTCTTCACTTTGGAGACGGGTTTCCGCCTCTTTTCTCTAGGTTCATCATCGTCGCCGATGTGAAGGTGCTTTGTGGCAAGCTTCCCGGATGCTCTCCCCCTCAGCTCTTCCAGGTCACCCAGGGTCATACACTCATGCCACCCCTTGTCATCTCTGATCTTCTCGATGCGTGGGAAGCGCAGCGTGGTCCCAGTCTTGTACATGTCACTGGGGACGATCTCTGCCGCCTTGATCTGGACAATCACGGAGTGATGGGGCTCGATGTACACTTCCGGCTTCTCTGTGCCGCATAAAATGCTGCTCGGTGGGGATTTCTTATGGTAAGGCTTCCAATGTTTGGCCAATTTCAGGCCAAGGTCATAGAGCTCCTTCATGGTGTATCCTGACCCAACACGGCACAGAGTATGGAACACAGATGGCCTCTCACCGTGAGGCGGCGCCTCTGCCACCGCACACAAAAAGTGAGACATCATGCCGCCGCGAGAACCTTTACCCCAGTAGCCCCCCACAATTAAGAGGTCTAATTCGTCCATTAATCCAGTGACATACTCTGGTTTAATTTTCAGCCACCCTTCCCCTCTTTTGTCGGGCTTGTAAATTGACAGAGGGTGCTTAACCATGATGCCCTCCTCTCTGTTATCAATGGCTTCATTTAAGGCATCCACCACCTCATTCTTCGTGTGAGCGAGCTTTTTCTGCACGATCTCTATTCGACCCTGGATGGGTGTCAAAGTACTGCTAAGGATCTCATATCTCTTCCTCAGGGTCTCACGCCCTAGCTTCTTATTATTAACCATCAACACGTCGAAGACGCAGTAACACGTCTGCAGGTCGGAATCCTCCACCATCCTTTTGATGTCAAACTTGACCCCCTTCTGCATGAACGTCTGCGTGGTTGGGTTGTAGGCCATCATCTCGCCGTCGAGGATGCACTCTTGCACATCTGTCCGGAAGGCGTCGTGGATGAAGGGGGTGAGGGAGCCTTCCTGGGGGGACGCGCCAAACTGATCGGTGTAGTCATAGCCGTTCCTGGAGAAGTACTGATACACCTCCCCGTCTTTGTGCATCTGCATGCGTTCGCCGTCCAGCTTGGTCTCGATGTAGAAACTCTGCTGCTTCATGTCCTTTTCCACGCGCTCCACGTCGGCTACGGCGGCTAGCATAGGCTTAAAGGCAGAAAAGAGGCTGATAGAGATATCACTGAGCCCTACGGAGGGGTCATGGAGTTGCTGGCACACCTTCTGCAGATCCGTGGTGACGTTGTGCAACTCAACTGCGTCGTTATGAAAGACATTAAGTATCGTTTGCTGACTGATGCCCAGCTTTAAGTCTTTAATGATCATGCGGATCAGCCACTTTTGTTCCAGGGCTGAACTCTGCGATATCAACTGGAGAAGGCTCTTCTTCACTAGGTCTTTTCTTTTGCCAGAATTGTTGCTGGCGACTAAGTCCAAGAGTTCATTCACCTGCTGTATGGTTAAGCTTCCTTTCTGTAAGCACCGCGGCTTCAACACGAAGTACGCAATCATCGCAAATTCCCCAGCATCCGTGCGAGCGCCACTCGGTGTTCGATAATTGAGGAGCTTCAGGGCGTCCTTGCCTTCCCTTGGTAAGTTCAGTAACTCGATGTAAAGCTTGGCAAGCATGGTTTCTTTGATACCATAAGCCATCCTCTCTCTCTCTAACTGAGGGAGAATAAGTCTCATGGCTGGGTAAAAGGAGTCCGGAATGTCCTTCTTGTTCTTATGAAGGGCATCGTGAAATTTCCTCCAAGAGTCTAAAAATTCCTTGAAGTGCCTGATCTTCTCTGCACGGTCTTTACTTTTATGTATCCGCTCCAATGTGGAACATAAATCTGCAAAGGGGACATGAGCTGCGACGGTTTGTGAAGACTGTGAGGTAGCCATGGCAGGGGCAGCAAGTCCTCTGATTTGAACTGACAAAGCAAAGAGAGAGTAACTTTAAGTGGCAATTGCAATCTATCACTATTTAAAACAATGAGCTTAGAGGGGCGATTTGGATCCCAGTACCTATTCATAGTTGACTCAGGGAAAGCAGGTCAATGCAGTACATGACGGACCCACATGCAGCGGCATTTCCTGCTGCCCTGACCGGCATTTCCCATCCGGTCTCAACAGCTTCAAGTCCTGTAACTGAGCCCCATTTATCTTACATGTTAACATCACTTGCATTCTATCGCCTAAGTATTTAGCACAGAACACAAGAATACTCTTTCTAATAATGAAAAGTCGAGCGAGATGAGGTAAACTTTATTTCCCAGTCTCTGAGGAAAGTCTGTTATGCTTTGTCTTTCTTGGACAATCATACAGCACTCAAAACAAACGTCATGCTGCCAGTGCCTTTAAGGAATCACTTGCTCGTTGAACCGGAACCTGATTTCTCGGGCATTCTGAAATCCAAATCATTGCTGACAAGACAAACCAACGTCTGCATCCATCTTCATTCCTTCACTGATGGCTAAGACAGATCCTCTGCCGCTCTAAACCAGCTGGAGTCCTGTCCCCATAACAGCCTCATTTTTACCTGTTTCTATCACAGTTACACAAATATCAATTCATTATTATGGCTCTTTTTGATTCTATCTTTGTGCTTGCTATTTCCCAAATGTTTGGTGATGACATACAAGCCAGACAGTATGCTATGGCCAATACAATTCTGCTTTGCGACAGCATATGTTCTATAAGGAATAAAAGGTACGACGAGAGAAAGATGCTAACACACTAAATGATTAACTAAAAAGAAAATTAAAACCCTAACAATCACCGCCCTTTCACCAAAGACATCTAAATTCAAGGAAGTAACTGAGTAGGGTCTAGAATGATTCCTAACATGGTTACACACGTATGGAATTTGTCTGACGTTTTAAATATCCCTGAAAGTTCTCTAGGGATCTATGTCAGTCACTTTAACATACTTTTTTTAGTTTTAGCTTTGGGGCCTGTCCTGGAACTAGCTCTTGTAGACCAGGCTGGCCTCAAACTCACAAAGATCTGCCTGCCTCTGCCTCCCGAGTGCTGGGATTAAAGGAGTGAGCCACCACCGCCCGGCTTTAACACGGTTTATATTGCATAACAGTCTAGCAAGTTTTCTAAAAGTGATTTCAAGCAAAGGTAAGTTCCAGGAATCAAATCATGCCTCATCACGTGATTTCAGACAACAGCATCTGGGTGGGCAGTGGTGATTGTGAAAGTTCCCACCCTCCACTTCTCCACCCCACAAAGACAAGCCTTGCACCAAGTGCTAATTTGTGCTATCCATGAGTATAATGCAGATTTGCTTGCAGAACTAATTACTAAATGCTTACAAGCGATTTGTGGGAATGCACACGGGGTGGGGACTGGGCTGGTTAAACACCGACACCGGCACACCTGGCTGCCAGTTCGGTTCTGCCCGCACCGGCAATAAGTCACAGCCAGTACTTGTGACCTATGGAAGACAACAACAAACCTCCCTTCTCGGTCTTATTTTTCACAAAGAAAACCCAGTTACCCGGTCGGTGAGATCAAGAGAAGCCCACCTGGGGCTGTAGCTCCTGACGTTTCTAACTGCATCCCCTGCTGCAGCTGGCTCGCATAACTGACTGCACCACCTGCTTCTGTCAAAGGGGAACACGATGGTGCACAATCCCAGACGCCATTCTAACTCTAACTTCTACACAACTCACGTAAAACGAAGCATATTAAGAAATTCGTTCTGAATGCTCAAGTATAGGCACATTGTCTATAGGTCTATCTGCAGAATGCATGTGGTCTCTAACGTTTCCTCAACAAACCGGAGCAAGCGATTCAGGTGAGTTTATACTCACGGTGTGCTGCAGGAAACGGTGAATACATGCGCATCTTAAAATAACTATACTCGCAGATAACAGGTTGCAAATTGCTCTAAGAACACACAACTTTTGCTCAACACAACTGCAAGGGAAGTTATATATCTGAATCTCTGCTTTTACCCGATCTCCAATTTTATTTTGCTTTTTTTTTTTTTTGCATTCTGAGGTTTGAGATAATGCTTTCCATTTGCAATAAGAAAAAAATTATGATCGCTGTAGGTGGGCTTCAGGCGCTGAAGTTCAAACGCACTCTTACACTTTCAAACACTCGATAAAATCGACTACCACAAGCTCTCGAAGGTGCCGGAAAAGTCAGAAAGACTGACACTTGTTACTTCAACGTCTGCTAACCTAAGCAACCTGGGCGGCTGGGGTGGGAAGGGGAGCTGTGTGCAGAGGATCACCGCCAGTCAGAAGGGATGTGAGCAATTGGAACGAACATGATGCCATCCCTCGGTGGCTGCCAAGTGCAGGAAGGATGCCAGCCTCACCAGGACCTCGCACGCCCACCCTCTCCCAGCCAGCCATACCTCCAGCCTCGCAGCGTCCCCTCAGAACGCCAAGCTTGGCTCCGACCGGAAGCGGCTCTCACAGCAAGCCGGTTCTGCGTTTCCGCCAGCTGTTGCCGCGCAGGCGCAGTGGGGGCAGAGCGCCTGTCACTGCTTAAGGCCCAGGGCGAGTGGGGTGCGCAGGCTCGGTGATGAGCAGGACGACGGGCGCGGCGACTCAGAGCGCCTGCGCACAGAGACTCCCCGGTCTCGGGCTGTAGCCTAGCAAGTTCCTTTCCACGCCGCTGGGTGTCGACGTTGAGCCGAACTTGAGCAAGGGGGCTGCTGCCCGGATGTGCTCGGTTTGCAGCCTTCTAGGGGACGAGAGCATCCTCGCTCCCAAAGCGTCCAGGGCTGCGGAAAAAGACTTTTGCAAAATTATCTCAGGTTCTCTTTGTAGCGTTTTCACTTTGCAGAAACGACACACAACTGATATTCATAATTTATGGCACAGAAACATACCTTCACGGACCACAGGCTTCCCAAATGTGGTCGGTGACTGGAAATAAAGTTAGCCGATAGTTTTGTTGAACTCCCACTTCACTCAATAACTACTAGATTCTCAAAGTAGACGGGAATATAGACTCAGTGCCCTACATCCAAGGAACTCTTGTCTTCCACTGGAAATGTGGCTGTGACCTAACCTATTCTTCCAATCAGAATTCAGAAATTGCGGGCAAAAGGTGAGAACGCCTGGGATCATCGCCTTTGAAAGTGAAGCTTTGCTGCACTGGTGAGACGCTAGAGGGTCAGGGGCTTTGGGGTGCTCTAAGTGCAGAAACCGAATTAGACACCAACAACAGCTCAGGGCTAGTCCAAAGTGGGGCAGGTCCCAAGGTTCCTTGTGGTCAGTTATTTTCTGTTTAGTTCGCCCTCATCTCCCGCCTGTTCCCAGTGATGTAAAGCCACAGGTAGGAGGCCCCACTTGCTGGTCCGGGGAGACAGCTCTTGTGCCTGCCTGATTTAACCGCTCCTGGGCTCCGACGTCAGACACAGGCAGAACTCTGCAGGACGAGGAAAACTGGATATCGACTCAAAGCCCTGGCAGTGATGAACTGTTTTAGCCACTCGGTTCATGGAGAAAACCAAATTTGTTTTCTTTTGTTTTCACTCATAGAATAAAAAAGAAAGAAATAAAAATAAAAGGACAGGAGCGCTCCTGGGTATGGTGGAAAAGTAAGTGTATTGCAGATAAAGGGAGGGCAAAACCAGAGGCAGAGATGTCTGGGAGAGTTCGGAGAGACTGTAAGAGTAAGACGTCATCTGTCTTGACATATCCGCTTCTGACAGTAAAAAAAATAAAATAAATAAATAAATAAATAAATAAATAAATAAATAAACAAACAAACAAACAAAAAACAGGGCAGCGTTTGGCCTCGGGAATTCGAGTCCTGGCTTCCTGCAGCGGGTGCAGACGGTGCGAACTGCAAATGCCTAGCAGTGATCTTGCCCCTGGCCGGCCACCGTAGCGCGAGGGCGGAGCCTGGCGCCCTGCGCATGCCCAGAAGCGCAGCCCGGCTTCCGACTCCGGGGAGGAAACCGGGGAGCAGGTTATGTGGGGGCCGGCGGGGGCATTTGCCAGCGACACCGCGCGCGAGCCGGAAGTGCGGGAGCCCCGGGCTAGACGGTGGCGACGGCGGCCCCTCGGCGGGAGGAGGACGATGAGGAGCGGCGGGGGCGGCGCGGGGCCTCGCTGCTGCGCGGAGCCGGGTTCCGAGCCCGCGGCCGACTGCGCAGTCCGCCCGCGAGCCTGAGTGAGTGCGGCGGGGGCGGGCGGGCGGGACGTCGGGCGGCTTTCCCGACCTTCGCACCCCGGCGCCTCGGAGTCCGAGTCCGTGTCGCCCTCGGTCCCCTCCCCTTCTTCCTGAGCAGTCGGTCCCCAAAGCCCCGGCTTGGGATTCTCTGTAACAGGTGCAGACCTGTGAACCCCGCGGCTGCAAGCCACGGGGCCTTCAGATCAAGAGTTTCCGTACGCTTGAAGTCACTTGGCCAGGGCTAGACTTGTGCCACCATCGACGTGAAGCCAGAAGGCGTCAGGCAGTGTGCTTGGCTGAGCTGTCAACCTTAAATTGACCCCCTTCATCTGTTTTGCACTTTTTACTAGGCAGAGTGGCCCACTGGCTTTAAGTTTGACGTTTGGTTTTGTGGGGGTTTTGTTTGTTTGTCGATCCACCTTGTCTTCTGACTTGAGTTAGTACGTACGTGTGTGTGTGTGTGTGTTTAGACGTGTTCTTTTCTAAACCACTGTTCTATCTTTCTGAGAATTAGTGACTGCCCCTGTAGAGTTAGTGCCGTAACTGTACTGCCTGAGACATCACCCAGCTGAGCTGTGATTGAGTTGGACTTACTCGTTGCACACCTTGGGTCTTGCTGTGCATTGAAAGTGTACAGTGGAGTAGCATAAGGTCACTGCCATCCAGGAACTCCCAGCCTGGGTCAGCAGGCCCGTCACCACATAGGTAAACACCGCACCTAAGTTGGCACGGACTACAGCGTGGAACTGGTGGCAGGAGAGGAAGGTCCAAGGGAAGCGTTCCGGAGGCTCTGTAGTCTGAGCTGGGTTCCCACAGAAAAATGAAGCCTTACCCCAATAACTTTTCCACATGCAAATGTCTTAACTACCCGTGAGTCATTGCTGTGATTTAGCTGGGATTCCACCTGCTTGCTGAGACTTCCTTGGCTGTGGCGTGTAATAAAACGCTGGAGGGGCAGCGCTTATGGCCGCATCTTAGCCATGTTTCGAGTAAATGCTTCACCCGGCCGTTGTATATTAAGAAACAGTCAAAAAGACCAAGCAAGTTGATGACAGGCTGCGCCTACAGGTAGTGCTTGGCTTGCTGCCTTTCCCCAGAGCAGTGGTGACAGCTTATCTTCTGAATGGTTTCCTGGTCAGACTGTGCTGGACCGACTGCGGTACATAGTGCAGAACCCAGGCGCTACTGGGCTGTCGGGCTCTGCTACCTCCGGAGAATTGTTTATGTTCTCTGGGTGGTTCATCTGTGAGCTCCTGATACCTTTCTAATGGCTGTTGCTCTGCCTCGGGAAAACCTCAGGCCCTTAAACACCCACTTTCAAATAGAATAGAACTAGGCCAAGCCCTGGTTCTTGTAATTACGGTGTTTGGTGAGTGGCAAAGCTTCCGAACACCTTATTACATTTTATGCCACTGAGTCTCATGAGTCTTAGATCCCAAAGCAGTGCATCCTGCCAAGTTTGCTTGCCAGGGTGCAGGGTTTCCACAGTTTGGAGTGACCCTGGGAGCTAGAGCCTAGGTACTCCTATGAAGTCTGCTTCATATAAGAAAATAAATGTCAGCTTAATACCTAAAATTTGGCCTTTTTACAATAGCTTACCATTCAACAGTGTAGCCTCAGTGTTTACATTTTAGACTTGAGAGTTTCTTTTTGTCATTTACCATTTTCTTACTTGCAGATAAAATCTCAGAACAAATTGTTACTGGCTTTCATCGTGACAGTAATGTATCATCCAAGTTTTTTCTATGATTGCTTTTGCTCATCCTTGGGGTTTTCGAGGGGAGAAGCACAGAGATGATCCTAAATTCCTAGCTGGTGTGATTTGGAGGCGTCTGCTTCAGGTTTGAATGCTCCCAATACCCGACAGTCCCTCCAGCGTCTCTGTAGGCAGATCTGCTCATCTGTCCCCTAGGACTGTTAGAACACACTTTCTCGTTATTGATGGCATGTGGGCAACCATCAGGGCCACAGCTAGCTCGTGCCGCGGTGTCTTCAGCACACCGAGAGTAGTGATTTGTGTTTGCGCGTCAGCTGTGAGGCTGGCACAGTGTCAGAACTTCCTGGCGCTCACCAGCAGACGAGAAACGTTGATACGAGAATGGAGTTCTGTGTTCCTTGAAAGGTGACTGGGATCTTTGGATTCCCCCGGAGTACTAATGAACATCTTGAGGTTTTTCCCTAGTGACACAGTTATCAGCAGGGACCTGTGCTCACCGCTCTTGACGGTTTACAGCCAGCTAAACATTGTGATTCACAGAGGTTTTCAAAGATCTCTTGATGTCAGTAGCATCAGTTAACAAATATAAACTACGCTCTTTTCCACTTAAAAATAATTAAAGTAGAGAAAGATTGTATCTGTGAGGCAATTTTAACCTTTATTTAAAAATATACTTGTCTATGATAAAGAAATAGATTTGACCAGTTTACTGTCTAATTTATTACCATACGACAACTAAAACACTTCTATTCCTATAGCTGCATTTCAGTTACTCTTACACTTGTTACTCTTTAGGTGTGATGTTACTGGGTAAAGAACTATTGCTTGAAGGATTTAAATAGTATGCTGCTCTTAGTTCCAGGACTCGTGGGGAGGCCATCGAGTTACTTGTCTTAAAGAGTGGCGCTCAGACCTTGGTTTCAGGACCATGTTATTTTTTAAAAATTGGTTTTTGTTTTTTAACACACATGCACTCTCGTGTTTGTATGTGTGTGTACACATTGAGTTTGTACATGTACACCTGAGGCAGTGCCCTCTCAGTTCAGAGGAGAGTGTTGGATCTCCTGGAGCTGTGGAGAGGTGTCCAGGTGTCAAGAGCTGAACTCAGGTTCTCTGTAAGAGTAGTGTTTCCTCTTAACCACAGAACCACCTCTCCAACCTTCAGGACCTCTTTATGTTTTGAGTAATTATTGAAGACTCAAGAGAAATTTGGGTTGTATAGTATCTCATTGTGTTAGAAATTAAAAGTGAGGGTTTGTGAATTAGTAATAAATCCATGACAAAATAGCAAGCGACATTTCTTTTTTTTTTTCTTTTTTTTTTTTTTTTTTTTTTTTTTTTTTTGTTTTTTTT